TTTTTTGCTAGTGGTTTCAAGAAAGCCTTTAAAGTCAAGGTTCGTTCTACAATTCCTGGAATCATCATATTTAAGTTTATGCATAAGTTATGACTATTTCCGCTTGAAATGCTTCAGGATTTTGGAGATAGTATATATCCCTGGACATGGCGGCTTTACCGATAAAATGGACTGCCAGGTAAGCTTTGACATATATAACTACAAAAAACTATCAATCTCTAATCTCTACATCTCTGTATGTGGATGACAAGGTCTAGATTGCTGGAAACTCGATGGGCTCACTCTCCTGCAATAAACAAAAATAGAAGGAAAGAATACTTGAAGTTGTGTGTTTAAATCCTTAATTACTCACATTTACGTGCTTATTTATATTAATAAATCGATTATTAGAATTATGGTTAGAGTTCTTGTGGATATATTGTGCAGATGGTGGTGGCAATATTTTCCTATATCTATCTGCAGTCATTTGCTCTCCCACACATATGACTCTGTTGAAATGATGCTGGATCAGGTACCTAAGACAAAACATTTTCTAACTTTTTGCACATATATATAGTCATATATATCATCAGTTCTCAGTATTCAGTTTATGTTAATATCTTTAATTACCTAGAACTCCCACAAAAACACAATTCAAATTAAAGTTGATGCAGCAGCACGAGTTCTGAATTGAAACCACTAGTGTATGGCTCGGCACGCAAATATGAGTTTAAACCCTAAACGTGAGGGTCCCTCGCCCCCCTTGGGGATTGCTGGATGCGCATAAGTAACTCGATCAAGGTCTAAGTGCTTACTTTTTAATTACTCTAAGGCTGAGATTCTTCCTTATTTACGGATTCAAACTCGGATATTTGCTGGACCACTATTCACTACACCCACATTTAACTTTTTGATTACTGAGCTATGCCCCGAGAGCAGTCGGCCCACAAACATGATTGTTTATGAGGGAGTATGCCTTAAGTTTGCATGGTGCAGATTTTAAGGAGCCTGAGTTATGAGGACCAGACAACACTATACATTAGGCTGAGCATGATGGATCAACCTTAGCTTTATGCCACTATGATATTACCAACCCTCAGATTTGAAGGGATGGTGTATAGAATGATTGATGTTGAGAAAGAAATCCCCTCTGATCTGATATTAATTGTTTCTGTAACAGGGGCCGGTTTTTAGATTTTTGTGGCCCTGTTCGGATAAATAAATAAGGCCCTACCAAAATTAAAATCTTTAAAACTAATACCGTAATTTTATTATCTAAATATATAACAAAAAAAAAGTTATCCGTGCATCGCACGAACATTGCACGTGCACTGCACGGATAATTGGGCAATTATTTGCTCGAATTCAAGCAAGGATAACATAAAAAAACATAATCAATACAACCCATTTCATCAATTGCTGCACTATATAATATTCGTTGTTATAATTTAAAGATTATAACAAATCTTTTTCGTGCAACGCACAGGTAAAAATAGACATTATGGAATAATAATAATAGTGTGTACAAGTTTTGAACCTTAACCTCAAAGTTAAAATACAATAAATACATGTTCTTACCATTTTTTTTATAGAGCCTTTTAAGTTTAATTAAAAACTTTTAATTTTTATTTCTAAACTAACTAAGTAAAAATAAAATATTGAGCTTCTAAAATTTGGGACCCTGTGCGGTAACCCAGCTTGCACAGTCCAAAATCCGGGCCTTTCATGGTGTTGATGCACTCACATCAGTTTGTCTTCCTACATAGGATTGATTTCTCTATGTTTCCCCAGTTTCTAGGGTTAGGGCTACTAGTCTTGGTCCCTTTTTCATTTGAATCTATAGGGGCAGGCTCCCTGCCATTCTCCTTACCATTTCTAGTAGGGGTTATAGTTGTACTTGTTACTACTATTATTTGTACTTTTTATCTCATCCCGCGTTTTGGGAGAAGGATGATGGTCGATCTATCTTGCCTGACTTTGTCAATTTGTCAGGTATTTCATTATTTTAAATATTATTCTATATTACTTATTATATTTAATTAATTTCAGAACATGTGAAACTATATATATATATATATATATATATATATATATATATATATATATATATATATATATATAATTTCTTGTATTGCATCTGGGGTTGACTATAGTTTTAAGACTTGTCGGTAATCCTGAGACCGGCATATTGAAGCATACATACAAAATAATAGTTTTTGTTCTTATAATACTTAGCTATGTCTCTCTTGCTATAGTAGGAAGTCCTCATGGTTGGAGTGCTCGCGCATATCCTTTGGAAGTGGCGAGAGTAGGACGTAGTATGGAGTACATTTGTAGTCAATTTGTTCTTATGATGTTGATTCCCATAATTCCTAGCCTAGTATGTAAATTGAATGAATGGATATTTTTATGTTTTAGTATTCTTGCATTAGTATGCCGTATTCTCTTGGCTTGTTGTAATATAGATTAGGATAAACGAATTTGTAAGAATATTTTTATTATGAATGAATGAATATTAATTGAAAAGTTGTGATTTTTGAGTTGTGGCGTATGAATGACGATGTTATGTTTTGGCAGGGCCGGTTTTTAGATTTTTGTGGCCCTGTTCGGGTAAATAAATAAGGCCCTACCAAAATTAAAATTTTTAAAACTAATACCGTAATTTTATTATCTAAATATATAACAAAAAAAATTTATCCGTGCACCGCATGCACATTGCACGCGCACTGCACAGATAATTGGGCAATTATTTGCTTAAATTCAAGCAAGGATAACATAAAAAAACATAATCGATACAATCCATTTCATCAATTGCACTATATAATATTCGTTGTTATAATTTAAAGATTATAACAAATCTTTTCCGTGCAACGCTCAGGTAAAAATAGACATATTATGAATAATAATAATAGTGCGCAAAAGTTTTGAACCTTAGACCTCAAAGTTAAGATACAATAAATACACGTTCCTACCATTTCTTTATAAAGCCTTTTAAATTTAATTAAAAACTTTTAATTTTTATTTCGAAACTAACTAGATAAAAATAAAATATTGAGCTTCTAAAATTTGAGACCCCTCTAAAATTTAGGGCCCTGTGCGATAGCCCAACTTGCACAGCCTAAAATCCGGACCTGTATCTGTAAAACAGTGTGGAGTGCACGCATGCATGCACTTATACATGATGTTCTCCTGAGCTAAATTTGATTTCTTCAATTCTTTAAAAAAGATGATGATGAAGACATTGGTTTTCACAATTTCTGTTCTCTTGGTCTTACCTATAAGTCTATAACCTACACCTGGAAACTTCATGAAAGAATACAAACTATTTTCACCTATATTGTTCTTAGAAGAAGAGACTGAAATTATAGTTTAGTTATATTCAAGGTAGTAAGCCAAAAAGCACCAGTGGTCTAGTGGTAGAATAGTACCCTGCCACGGTACAGACCCGGGTTCGATTCCCGGCTGGTGCATCTCCTGAAGCAAATGAAGATATCTGCGCACGAGTGGTGATTGGGTCGCCACGGTTTGTGTCTGATCTAAAATTGGACGATGAACATCGCATCTGAGCTTCTTTGTTTTTTGGTTTCTGCATATTTTTATCTTTAACTGGGTTTAACTGGACGACTAAGTAGCGCCTCTGAGCTTCTTTTGCTTATTCCCCCCCCTAAATTATCACTGTGGGCGGCCCACTATTGCTAGCTGGTTTTTTTTTTTTTTTTTTTTTTTTTTTTTTTTTTTTAACATATAGTATAATCTTTCTTCAAATTATATTTTTTGTATATAAATATGGAGTAATATATTTTAACATTAATTCCTAGCGAGTCCTTTTTTTTTTTTTTTTTTTTTTTTTTTAAACCTGCTTCTCCACAAATGAATGGCCAAAGATATGTGATTTTGCAAATATTCACAAAATTAACATTTTGTACGCGCGGGATGTGTGAAAATTCATGCCCAATATTAAAACATTGATAAATACAAATAATTAAAAATTATAATTTGAATTATATATACACAAATAATAATTTTTTGTATATAAATATGGAGTAATATATTTTAACATTAATTCCTAGCGAGTCCTTTTTTTTTTTTTTTTTTTTTTAAACCTGCTTCTCCACAAATGAATGGCCAAAGATATGTGATTTTGCAAATATTCACAAAATTAACATTTTGTACGCGCGGGATGTGTGAAAATTCATGCCCAATATTAAAACATTGATAAATATAAATAATTAAAAATTATAATTTGAATTATATATACACAAATAATATATGTATTTTGAACACACACATATATAATTTATCATTGATAGGAATTTAATTAAAATATAATTAAGTATTAAATTAATATATAATGATTTTAATAAAATGATAATTAAAAGATAGGATAGATATAAGTGTATGGTAATAATGATGTGTTATCAATGTTAGAATTAAAAACAAACGGTGTTATGATTAGAAAGATAATCTCATTCAGTTCAAACAGAAAGCAATTACAATAGAGTATATCTAATCACACCACTAAACACTCCTGACTAATAGACTAGCTGTACAAGACTAATTCTAAGACCACACAATTATAAACTATGTTACATATAATTAAATAATAGTAATAATAATAGTAACACTAACACACCCCCTCAAGCACAAGTGGTCCACAACATTAAGCTTGTCCCGCAGAGCTGTAAACCGGGGTCCTGGTAAAGGCTTGGTAAGGACATCAGCTAGTTGATCTTTGGTGGAGACAAAATTCACCACGAAGTCGCCCGAGGCCACCTTGTCACGCACAAAGTGGTAATCAATTTCTACATGCTTTGTCTGAGCATGAAACACAGGATTTGCGCATAGGTAAGTAGCCCCTAAGTTGTCACACCATAAGCTGGAGGGGTGCCCAGTGTGCAACCCAAGTTCTCGTAGTAATGAAACAATCCAGGTAACTTCAGCGGCGACATCAGCAAGAGCTTTATATTCCGCCTCAGTAGAGGAGCGAGCTACGGTGCGTTGTTTCCGAGAGAGCCAGGAAACTAGATTGCTCCCCAAAAAACAGTATATCCACTAGTGCTTTTCCTGTCTACCGGACACCCAACCCAGTCAGAGTCGGAGTAGGCATGTATGGCACTGGAGTCAGAGGGGGTTAGCCGAAGACCGTAACCCAGAGTACCCTTGATATACCGCAACCCACGTTTCTCCATCGCCCAATGATCTTCAGTGGGAGAGTGCATAAACTGACACAGGCGGTTGACTGCATAGGCGAGATCTGGCCGGGTGATAGTCAGATACTGTAGTGCACCGAAAACACGACGATACTGCGTAGGATTCTCAAATGGCTGATCAGACGGAGTTACTGCTTGGGAAACAGAGGCTGGTGTAGTGAGAGGCTTGCAGTCCGTCATCCCAGAGCGTCCCAATAAGTCAACCATGTATCTGCGCTGGGACTAAATCATGTCGTCACCTGCCGCAACTGTCTCTATCCCCAGAAAGAACCTTGGTGTGCCGAGGTCACGAATTTTGAATGCGGTGGCGAGGCGACGTAACAGAGACTCAACCAGAACTGCATCACTACCCATCATGATGATATCATCCACATAGACGAGGAGAAACACTTTAGATACTCCCGTCGAGTGGTAAAATAATGAGACATCAGTCTTGGACGAGGAAAAACCTGCAGACAACAAAAAGTCGTGAAGTCTTTTGAACCACGCCCGCGGGGCCTGCTTGAGCCCATAGAGTGGCTGTAAAAGACAGACATGATCCGGGTGAGTCGGATCTTCATATCCTGGTGGCTGTTTCATGTATACTGTCTCAGCTAAATGGCCATTAAGGAAGACATTGTAGACATCCAACTGCCGTAGAGTCCATTTGTTTGAGACAGCTAAAGAGAACAAAATGCGTACTGTAGTGGGTTTGACAACTGGACTGAAAGTGTCGAAGAAGTCCTCCCCTGCGGCTTGATTGAAGCCTTTGGCTACTAAATGAGCCTTGTAGCGATCAATCAAGCCATCAGCAGTACGTTTAGTATGGAAGACCCATTTGCAGCCAATAATGTTCATGGTAGGTTCTGGGGGAACTAATCGCCAAGTGTTGTTATGGAGGAGGGCATTGAACTCTTGATCCATTGCGTCATGCCACTGTGGGTGCCCCACAGCTTGGGAGTAGCACGTTGGATCAGTTGTTGCCGTTAGAGCCTGAAACTCTTCATTAGTACCCCGAGTCATACGCTGAAGACGCATAGCCAGAGGCTGAACTGTGGTTCGTTTCCAGGCCCTTCTAGGAGCATTTGACTCAATGGCCAATAGTGGTGCTTCTTGGGCCAAAGGGACGGGCTCAGGGTCCGGGATTGGTCCCGGAGTTGGCACAAGTTGTCGGGATTGCACAGGTGATATGGGTGCTGAAGCCCATGGTAGAGATGCAGGTGTAGAGTCCTGCTGTACTGAACCTGTTGTAAAGGGAAAAACATTCTCGTCAAACCACACATGGCGATAGATATAGGATGGTGGGTAACCTAAGAAGACACATGGGGTAGAACGATACTCCATCTTGTGGCGATTATAAGGCCGTAGATGACTGTAACATTGACACCCGAAGACTTTTAGAAATTGGTACGGTGGGGATTTTTTGTAGAAACGATAATATGGGCTTTCAAACTTTAAGACCGAGGTGGGAAGGTAGTTAATTAGGCAGGTGGCGGTTTCAAAGGCATAGTCCCAATATTGTTGCGGGACGGAGCCTTGAGCAAGAAGAGCTAAGCCCGTTTCGACAATGTATCTGTTACGACGCTCAACTCTTCCGTTTTGTTCATGTGTGTAGGCACATGACTGCCGGTGTTCAATACCCAAGGTTTGGAAAGTTGTATGTAATTTGCGGTATTCACCCTCTAAATCTGATTGGATTGACTTGATAAAGCGCGAAAACTGCCGCTCTACCAACACACGAAACGAGTCAAAAATTTTATAGATATCTTATTTTACCCGTAATGGATAAAACCAGGTGAAACACGTGAAGTCATCAACAAATAACAGAAAGTAACGACATCCACTACTTGACACAATAGGAGCGGGGCCCCAGATATCTGTATATAAAAGATCTAATACATTTTGACTAGAATTTTCAACCCTATCTAATTTTAAACGGGAGGACTTGCCGAGGTGACAAGCCGTGCACGACCCCAATTCTTTGGAATTATTTGTCTGAATGAAGCAGTTCTGAAGGACTTTATTTTGAACCACACTATGTGGGTGACCAAGCCTGCGATGCCACACAGTCGGCGTAGCACGGGAACTCACAAACGCAAAGTGGGAACGTGACACGGATAATTTGTATAGACCGCCCGAGGTTGGACCCTTAAGAAGTGTGACCTTGGTTTTGGAATCCTTCACAAAAAAAACAATTATCATGAAATTCAAAATAAACATGATTATCGTTAGCAAACTTTTGCATAGAAAGTAATGGTACGGTTAAATTAGGGATGTGCAACACATTAGACATGAGTAACTGTTTTGACACGGATGGAATAGATACATGACCAATCCGCGAGATAGCCAAACCTGTACCGTTTCCGACGCGGAGCGTGTCCTGGCTAACTTAATCTTCCGAGTTACTCAGCATGCCGGCATCGGGTGTGGCGTGTGAGAAAGATAATCTCATTCAATTCAAACAGAAAGCAATTACAAGAGAGTATATCTAATCACACCACTAAACACTCCTGACTAATAGACTAGCTGTACAAGACTAATTCTAAGACCACACAATTATAAACTATGTTACATATAATTAAATAATAATAATAATAATAGTAACACTAACAGTTATAACGGTGTAAGGATAGTTTTATCTAATAACATTGTAATGTACAACATTTAAAGTAAAATGTACACATATATTTGCATACAAAAAGAGGGACAAAAATCAAGGATATAACCTTAATTGAGGCTTATTATGTTTTTATTTTTGATAACATAATCAAACTTGGTAGCTGATATTTGCAAAAATTTTGTCGACTCTTGTTTAATTATTATAATTCTTCGATTATGGTCAAAACAATTGTAACGCTTTCTCTCCCTTCTCTCTAGGGTTTCTCTCCCTAGGTAGGGTTTTCCGTTTTATCTTGATTTCTTGACTTTCTTTCTTGCATGTTCTGGCTTCTGATTCCCGTCGGAGTTGTTTCTTCTTGTCGGGATCATTCTACTGCTCTCCTAAGTTCGCTTGTTTCCGGTTATCCCGCTCATCGCCTTATCGTCCAGACCAGTCCGTCCCCCCCTTACGTAATCGGCTGTTGTTCGTGTTGGTTTGCTGCGATGGCTTCGACACCTATTGACGAAATCGTGGCAGACATCACCGCCCAGTATGCAGACATTGTTCTAGAAGGGGAGGAGGTTGGTTTTCTTCCAGTGCTCGAGGACGTCCAGTCGGGAGAGTCGTGGATAGTGGTCGGCAGGTTCCTTACGGAGCGTAGGATCAAGGTCAAATACATGCGGCAAGTTATGCCGTCAGTTTGGAAACCTGTGAAGGGGGTGCAGATTGCTGAGATCCAACCGAACTTGTTTATGTTCATTTTTTTCCACATAACTGATATGCAACGGGTCATCGAGGAAGGTCCCTGGTCCTTTGAGAACAACACTTTAGTTTGTAGACAGGTGGGTGTGGGTGAGTTGCCTGGTCAGGTGGTTCTTAACTCTGTTGATATGTGGGTTCAGATACATGATCTCCCGGTGGGCTACACTTCTGGCTCAATTATTGAGCAGATTGGGAATTTCATTGGAACTTTTGTTAAATGTGATGATAGACAGCTTGGGGGTTTTTGGAAAGCTTTTTACCGTGTTAGGGTTTCTGTTCCTGTTGCAAACCCTATCAAGCGCCGTATGAAGTTGATCAAGCGGGATAAGACGTGGAGCTGAGTGAATTTCAGATACGAACGGCTTCATACCTTTTGCTTTTTTTGCGGATTCTTGGTAAGTTTTGTCTGAAAGCCCGTGAATCGTTGATCCCGGTGGAGCAATACCCCTATGGCACTTGGTTGCGGGCAGGTTTGAGAAGAGGGCCGAGGGCGGTAGGTGAAAGGTGGCTTATCTCGAATTCATCTCCTAGCATTGATGTGTCACCCAAGAAAGAGGGCCGAGGGAGGTAGGTGAAAGGTGGCTTATCTCGAATTCATCTCCTAGCATTGATGTGTCACCCAAGAAGGTTAATAAGGAGGTCGGGAGGGGTGATGGGCAGTTTGTTACGTGATTGATCGAATCAACTAAGATAATTATGTGACTCTGCGAGACTCTAACTAGCAATTTTTAATACTTGATTTATACTTTTTGTGTCCTACCTACTATTCATTGGTCTAATCAACTCTTTCTTTGTTTATTTTCTTATTTTTTTTACTCATTTTTAAATTTAATTGTTTGTGTTTAATAGTAAACTTTTAATGTAGTTCCTAGATGTATAAATTTTGTTTACTAATACTAAACTTAATATTATCAAAAATTGAATTAAAAATAACTCCAGATCAGAAACGAAGTTCCCTAAATTTAAGAACGAAGTTCCATATATATGATGGGAATCGGAGTTAAGAACGAAGTTCCCTAAATTTATATAGTGGGATAAGAAGCAGCCTTGGCAAGACCACATAGTCCTTTCTTATCTGCATAATCCCTTTGAATCCTCATATACCCATTTTCTCCCCATCTTGTCCCCCATGAATTCTTTATCACCCAATACTTCTTCCCGCCGTCGCCGGCCGTCGTTCCATATCCCACCGCGGTCACCCCATGATCCAGGTGCGGTTTGCACTTCCCGCTAAACACTCCTTTCTCATAGAACCGGAAATGGAAGTCGCCGCCGTTGATTTCTAGCAGCACCGGCTGATGCGCCACCGCTTGCATTAGAGCCGTCTCGTTCTTCGCAGGGACGCGCTCGTAGCCGGAGATGCGCACCGCCTTTGACGCCGTTTTCATGAAGTTGCAAACGCGGTGTTGTTTTCCCTTATAGGGGTAGTTTTCCTCGGTTGTGAGGCCGTTGTTATTGACGATGAACTGGAAAGCGGAGATGGGAAAGCCTCCGTCACAGCCGTAGCTTTTCCGGTCGCAGTCGACGAGTTCTTGCTCGGAGAGAGAGACGAGGTTGCCGGTTTTCAGTTTATGGATGCCTTCCACTGCTGCCACTACCGCAAATGCCCAGCAACTCCCTGCAGTGTTAATAACTAACATCAGGCAACTACAAATCATGGAATTATTGACCTGGTGGTCCGAATTATAGTAATATTTAGTGGATTAATGGTGGAGTGTTACCAAGAATATTATGTAATGAATTGAAGGTTTTTTTTTTTTTTTTTTTTTTTTTTTTTTTTTTTTTTTTTTTTAATGTGTAATGAATTGAAGTTAATTGTCTAGATCAAGACAATGCCAATTTTTACCAGTTGTTATACTATGGACCAGAGTTCACCTTACAAGTTAGACCATGCTTTTAAATTATATATTTTTAGTATTGAAATTGTGAACTTCAAGAATATAAATTGTCTTTCTAAGTTTTGGGAATTTGTAATATAAAATTATAAATACAATGCAGATTTATCACAAATTTAAATGATAAATTGTGAACATTTAGTATGTAAATTGTATATCTTTGGACCCAAGGTGGACCCGGGTCCATAAAATAATTTGCCGATAAAGAAAGGCCCAACAATACTTCTACGAGTCATTATTGCATGGACCTTGGTCAACACTCCACACCACAAATAAAAAGTATATTATTTGTGTACATAAAATATTTTATTGAAAAAAGTGTCAAATTGGCCCCCTAAGTCGAATGGGTAGTGCAATTGGCCCCCCTAAGTGAAAAAAGCTTCATTCAGGTCCCCTAAACCTGTAAAATTGTTCAATTAAGTCCAAGTTGACTTGTTTATCAGGTTAAATGCATACGGTGTTGACATGTGTCCTTATTTTATTTTTTTATTGAAAGTATTATTTATTATAAATTAATTAAAATAATAATAATAATTAAAAATATTTTTTATTATAAATAAATTAAATTAATTAAAATAATAATAATAATAATAATTAAAAAAATAGCCCTGACCGGACAACGGAAGACGGCCATGGCCGACGAAAGAAGATTGCCAGTTTTTTTTAATTATTATTATAAATTAATTAAAATTAAAATAATAATAATAATAATAATTTAAAAAAAAAAACAGTCGCAGCCGTCTATGGAAGACAGCCATGGCCGACGAAAGAAGATGGTCATGTTCGTTTTCTAGATCTAGAAGATGGCCACGGCTGTTTTTTTTAATTATTATTATTATTATTATTATTATTATTATTATTATTATTATTATTATTTTAATTAATTTATAATAAATAATTTTTTTAATAAAAGTAAATTTTTTTTAATTATTATTATATTTTAATTAATTTATAATAAATAATATTTTTATAAAAAAAATAAAATAAGGACACGTGTCAACACTGTGTGTATTTAACCTGATAAACAAGTCAACCTGGACTTAATTGAACAATTTTACAGGTTTAAGGGACCTGAATGGAGTTTTTTTCACTTAGGGGACCCAATTGCACTATCCACTCGACTTAGGGGGCCAATTTGACACTTTTTCTAATTTTATTTGAAAGTATTGAGTACTGAACGTACATTATTATTTTGTATACGTACTATCAAATAATGTATTTTTAAAATATTAAAAATGTACCTTATATTAAGAAAAAGTACGTTATTTAAGCACTGAAAATATATTATTTTGTATAATGTATATTCAGTACACAAATAATGTACTTTTAATATATTAAGAATGTACTTTTTATGGTCCACACAACGTTGCATAGACCATGGTCCACATAAAAAATTTTCTACTTCTAAAAATGTGGTAGCCGTCGTGAGACTAAGTCAATGCCCATTTTTCTGAGTCCGGAGATGGATTTCAGGGCAGGAATGGTTACCGGTCCGGAGTCGGCCCCAAGGGTCTTCATCCCCTACCAGGTCTCATATATCCCTTCCCTCATGACGTGCCTTGTCAGATGGGCAAATTATGTTGTGGAACCGCAGTTCCACAACGGCGTCATTTTTAATTAAAAAAAAATTGTTTTTCACTGGCCGTTAACGTTGTTTCTCTCTTCGCAATCGCATTGTTTCGTCTTCTCATTCTCAATCTTCTGTCTTCGCGAGTTTCTTCGCATTCTCAATTGCATTGTTCTTTTGATTTCGAATATTGAATTTGCCGATGGAGGAGGCAACAGATAAGGGAGATTTAAACATTGATGGATTGTCTACGATTTCAGGTTTTTTGCATTCGATTTTTTCGATTTGTGCATTTGATCTATGTGATTTTTCTGGTTTTTGAGCTTAAAATTTGAATTTGAATTTATATTTGTGTTTGTAATTGTGATGAATTTGGTGTTGGCGCTAAGATTTATTGATGTGTGTGTTTTGGTGAGTTTAAACATCTATATTGACAATTACATGAGCATATGTTCATAATTTTATAACTATACAATTTAGAAATTATGAATCTACTCTATTTAAATATGAATCTACAGTTTAGAAATTATGAATCTACAGTATAGAAATTATGAATCTACAGTATTAGGTTTGTAAACATGTGATAGAGCTATATGTTCATAATTTATAAATATATGTTCATAATTTTCGATGTTCATATTCCCAATTGTTGAACTCTGTATTCACAAATCACAGAACTATATGTTCATAATTTGATAACTATACAGTTTAGAAATTATGAATCTATAGTACAAATATTATGAATCTGCAGTATAGAAAGTATGAATCTACTGTATAGAAATTATGAATTTACTGTATTTAAATTATGAATCTATGATATAGAAATTATGAATCTACTGTATAGATTTTATAAATCTACAGTATAGAAATTATGAATCTACCATATAGACTCTGTATTCACAAGTGCATAAATCTATATTCACATTATGGAGGATAACGGTGCCACTAACGACACGTTACTCAACCACATGAAAACGATGTCGTTTGGAACCGTACTCACCTTGCAAGGTGGGCACGGTTTCACGGCGTAACGATTGCGTCAGAAGTGTCCTCCCTTCACTCTTGGGCCTGGGTCGTGGGCTGCTTGCGCCTCATAGACCCTTGCTCTTAGCCTCTTAGGCCATTCTCAATTGCAAATTATTGTGTGGACCATAGTTCACACAATGTTATGTGGATCATAACAAAAAGTACATTTTTAATATACTAAATGTATATTATTTTTGTATTGAATGTACATTATAGAATATAATGTACACTCAGAACAAAAATAATGTATATCCCCTATATACAATATACATTATTTTTGTACTGAATGTACATTATTTTTGTACTGAATATACATTATTTTATAGTAGACAAAATATGATCCACACAACTTGTGTGGACCATAGTCCATACAATAATGATTGATTCTCAACAAGATAAAAGGTGTTTTGGGATTTTTGGGATTATATATATATATATATATATATATATATATATATATATATATATATATATATATATATATATATAAAATATTTTGAAATGCAAAATATTTACACAAAAAACCAATAAAATCCCAACAAAAGAATTACCACAATTGCCTTGGTCCTTGATGGGTGTGACAGCTCCTTTATTTCTCCAATCCACGGTGGAGGGTAAGTTGGTGGCATTAGCGTACCTGAAATGTTTTGATTTTGAGGCGGACATGAATCCTTCAACTTTCTGGTTCTGCCTCCCCACATACCCGCCGACAAGATGTAACCGGCGGAATTCGTCGTTAGTTAGATCAGCGAACTTATTAACGCCAAGCTTATACCCTTTATTCGGACCGGCATTAAAGGTTTCAATACGTTCAACATTGTTTCTGAATATGTTAAAACGCATGTCTGCCTCATATGTGTCTACGTAAACTTTTCCATGATAAGCCATCCATTGTTGATGCCTCAATCGCATGGAATGTTGGTAGTCAAAGGTTGAAGCTACTAGATAGCTCCAAACTCCCAAGATTATTGTTGTGATGAAGAGAAGAGATGAACCAAGTATTTTAGAGGCCATATTCGAGTGAGTTCTAGTGGAATACAACTATATAGGAATAAGGAAATGCAGATTATTGTTATTGGGTATGATGAAATGGCAAAGCTTGCAAGAGGGATTTATAGGCGAAGGCAAAAAGGATGTAGCCACTCAACAATTTTGTTTTTCACCAAAGTGATGATGTTATTTTACATCATAATGATCTTTTTTTTTTTCAACAGTATAACATTTTAATTTCCTCATTAGATGATGCGACCATTTTTATTTATAATTTTATATGGAGTATTACTATTATTAACAAAAAGAATAGCTATCTATATCCACTAACACCGTACCACCAATATAATTATAATTAGCTATTAGCTATTTTGCTAATTAGTTAGCAAACACTCTTGTAGTTTTTACGGATTAACTATTATTCTTGGATGGGGCACAATAGTTAGTACAACAATGCATATTTTTCAATCAAATCATAATAATCTTTCGGACTAATGGATGATGATGGATGCATATATGATGTTATGATGTAAGCTTCGATGACATCCGATCCATTCTACATTCTACTCAAATGGATGGATTAAACCATTCATCACATTTTATTTGGGAGCATATTCTCACCTAAATTCTCCTCCAATAATATATACATTTTACTTAAACTCTGTCTTGTGACCCTAACCAGCTGCAAAGGACCAACTGCAATAGGTAAACCAGTTTATGTTGCTCATAATTGACTGACTCAAATTAAAATGTCCAATAAACTGCTCTCGCTGAGAGTCAAACTTACAGGTAACATTATGATTACCAAATCAACAGTCTAACTCACTGGATGCCTGGGTTGCACCTCCGATGCAATACGTATTTAAAATTATAAAAATGTGCATTAAATACATTGAATAATATAATATAGAGTTAATTCCACCAGAGGTCCCTTGTCTTTGGTGGCAATTCCAAATTTAGTCCTAGACTATCGTTTTTTGGACACTTTTAGTCCTTTCCATGATTTTTTCTATTTTTAGTAACACTACTGGAAATTATGGAATTTCCGACCACCTGAAAATGATCTTAAATTAAATTGATACCAAAAAGTTCAAAAAGTGGTCGGAAATAGCAACAAAGGTTTTTCCGGATACCAAAAGTGGTCGGAACAAGGCTTTCGACTTGATTTAAGATCACTTTCAGGTGGTCGGAATTCCACAATTTCCAGTAGTGAAAGTGTATTTTTGTCTCTTCATATTTTTCTTTTGTTATTTTTCCGATTTCAACCAGTTTAATTGGTTTAGGACTTTACTAAAAATTGGTTGAAAAATATGGTTACTAAAAATCAGAAGTTACCTAAAAGTTCTAAACCAATTAAACTGGTTGAAACCGAAAAAATAATAAAAGATAAATATGAAGAGACAAAAATGCCCTTACTAAAAAAAAAAATCATCAAAAATATTAAAAGTGTCCAAAAACTGATAGTCTGGGATGTAAAATGATTAAAACGATAGTCGGGGACTAAATTTGAAATTGCTAAGCCACCAAAGACAAATGACTTCCGGTGGAATTAACTCTATAATATAATAAAACATAGTCAATGTGTACTCAAGTAATTCACACATCATAAATTAGTTGATAATATATATACTGTTGATGACTTCATATAATTCAATTGCGTTTGCCACTTAATATATTCATATGATAAATTAACATTCAAAACATGTTGGGTCAGTATGGACGATGTATTGTTAAATTTTAATGGTAACTTTTGACCATGTTTATTTATTCTAATGTTTATGGTGGACAAGGTCATAATTATAACGTGACCAAAAAACAAGCAAACAAAACAAAAACAAAAACAAATTATAAATCAAAATATTGAAGTTTTTCAAAATATTTTTGACTTATAATCTAACCTTTATTCTGCTTGCACTTATCATTTTAAGATGTGTTAAAATTCAATCAACCATACATAATACGTTTGTTAAAAGATAAGAGAGAAATATCTAAGATATTGAAAATATATTATTTGTTGTAGGGTGGGTTTATATATTCATCCATCAATATATATATGTGTGTGTGTGATGCAAGTCTCTTCTAACTTAATTAAAGGTCTCGAGTTTGAGACCAGGAAATATAGCTACCTTTGAGGTCCTACCCGTCACGAAGAGGATTAGTTACTCTTTAAAGTTGTACCGGCAAAAAAAAAAAAAAAAATATATATATATATATATATAGTCTTAATGTATGTGTAGGGTCCTAATATAGCATGACTAGAGAAATATGTTGTATAAAAAAATTATAATAGATATATTAATTATTTAATTAATTGTGTAATAAAATATTGAAATACATTTTCTATGTTTATTGTTTCTAGAAAAAATTAAAATTTGAAGATACAAATTTTTTACTTATATTTAGATAATTTAATTATTGTTCACGTGAAACACAAACGTAACCCTAATTAGATAACAACGTTTGTTGTCATTGATCACAGCAGGGCTTTAGAAAATAATTTTATAGTTGACTAGCTTGAGTTAGTGTTTACATTATATTGGAATCTTTGTCACAAAATATGGATGTAGTGTTATACTATTATATATTGTTTGTGGGTGGGACCAAAATGTGACTAAATGCAAAGGAAGATAAGATGACGAAACAATCTTTAAAACCACTTTATGAAGGAAAAACAAAAAACCAACAAACAAACAAACAAAACAAAAATCTGACTGAAAAAAAAAACTTAATTGCTTCGATCAAGAATTCATCTCATGGGATTATATCTAATAAAACTTTGTGCGGAGATATACCCAATTTGTAATAATAGAAGGGTATAAATTTAAAAAATGACAAAATCCCCTCTGAGATCACTTCATGAATACTCATTTGTGAAAAGTGGATATGTGTTCGCTTGTAGCTGCACTCCGGATAAGTGTTCCGTTGTAATTGCGCTCCAGATGAGTGTTCCTTCTAAGTTGCGCTCTGGATGAATGTTCTGTTGAAGTTGCGCTTCGGGTGAGTGTTTCGTGGTAGCCGATCCTGCAACCAACATGATTCTTTATTTTGTTCGTGACAAAGTAGCATCAAAGGAACTACATCTCTATAAAAAGACCAACGGTCAGACATCTCCACCAATAAGATCATTGTATCTTATAAATATATCTCTTTAGTCTTTATCATGTACTTTTACATGTATCATGAATTAATTAATAATAAGAATATAAGATCATTTTCAAAACTATTATTCTCAGACATTGGATTCAGCCATTCATCTGACAATGGTTTAATATTACATTGAAGTCTTATATTACTTGTACAGAAGAAAATTATTTATCATAATTATTTTTCTCCAAAATATGCAAACTTTGCGACAACATGAAGAAGCTAAAATTAACGATTTGTTGACTACATAGGTAAAATATAATTTTTGTTGAACATAAAAAATTCATCATTAAAAAATAAAAAATAAGAGATAAAAGATGGCTTAAGGTTTCTGCTCAAACAGTTGAATTTTATTTCCCATTGTAATAAATAAATGATTTCTATCCAAATAAGAACAAGTAGCACCAGTGGTCTAGTGGTAGAATAGTACCCTACCACGGTACAGACCCGGGTTCGATTCCCGGCTGGTGCAGTCAATTGAAGCAATGATGAAAGCTGCGCATCAGTGGTGATGGGTCGCCAATTCTCCCAGATCTTGATCGGACGATAAACAGCGCATCTGAGCTCTATCTTTTAATTTTATTTTTTCTTCTTAATTGGAATATTTCCACATAATTAGTAAAGTTTCCCCACTATGTCTAACATTTTTATCTTCAAATTATTTTACAGTAAATATTTAATGTATTGTGGATGTATAAATATTATGTACTCAATCATATTTTGTCATCTCGTTAAAAAGGTAAATTTGATCTTTTTTAAATTATTTTATCTTTGAATTTTTAATTGAATAATAATTTGTCTTTGTTTTTAAGAATATGTGTAATCATTAATGCATCATTTAGTTTTATGATACGTATTTACAACCTTAACTCAACCGAGAAAGAAGATGAAAGGGAATTTATCATTATTATTCTCTTTGTATCTCATCGGCATTAATGATTTTTTTATCAATATTTACCAACAACTCCATTTCGCCATCAATCTCCAACTCTACCAATTAGGTTATAGAGTATGTTAAAGGTTGAAAATTTACTTTTAAAAATTTTGAAAATTGTTTAAATTATTTACACAACCAAAATACTCTTTCAAATAAACACTTCTTTAGTCTCTCTAGATTTGTCTTGCCTCCACCTATAAGATTCACCGAAAATTATCAAAAGAAATAGGTGCAATCTTAAATATTATAATAAATTAATAAATACATTTGTTTTTGCTACAACAATGAGGACTCATAAATTTCACAAAGAGATTATTAGCCATAACCATCTCTAATCCAAAACATCAAATTCTGTACAAAATTTTACACCAAGAGTAATATTCCCAGCATATTCTTACATCAATTTTTTTTCATCTCCAACCAATTTACACCAAATTTTATTTCATCTCAAGTCCATTTACACCAAATTTTATTCATACACTAGAATAATGTGTATTATATATTATTATAATTTAAAACTTCAATTTTGTTTACTTTAATCATTTTAATATAAAATATAATTTTGATCTGATATAAATAATAATATTTTAAAATAAAATTTATGTTTTTATGTATTTTAATTTTTAATTACTTTATAGTCGATATTGATCTTGTTTTAAACGTCTCAATGAGTTTTTTAAATCTATAATCTATTTTAATAATATAAATTTAAAAAAAAAAACAATTGATAAAAAGATTTTAAAAAGTTCTACACCAAAATGGTGTAAATGAATAGTGTTACACCGTGTAAAACTATTCATTTACACCATTTTGGTGTCTTCCTTGGAGGAAGGTTACACTAAATTTTTACATCAAAATGATATTTTGGTGCCTTCTTTGGAGATGATCATGCCACAATAGAGAACATGGAATATATATGTCTTGATATGTCTTTTCTAGTCTCCATGATGTTTTGGTTTATTTGTTTGCCAAAGAAGCAACGACGATGGAATTCA